CTTGCCAGGCAAGCACTTATTCTACTGAGCTATCTTCCAAGCCCAATTATTATTATGTTTAAAGAAACTATTCCCTTTACATCTCTTATGCATGGTGTCTGGAGCTTGTGTATTCCTGCCTCCACCTTCACCATCAAGGAACTGTAAGGACACAGACTGAGATCCTAAGCTGAAGAGAGATCTATTACTGAATAAGAAGCCGAGAGAATGCCTCTGCTCTGCACCTTGCTGAGTAGACCTGTTTGTATCATTTCATAGGCAAGAATTTGCCACCAGAAAGACTGAAATGACCCTGTCTTAGTGTAACAAGTTTAGGTTAGGGCAAATTTCCTCAGAAATGTACTTCAAGGAATTTATTATTGACAGCACTAGAATATTTTATTAAGACCACTTTGTTGCTCTATCATATTCTTTCAAAACATGATGCAGTGGGGATGAGGGGGTTTCATTTAGACATTCATCTAAAATAGGCTTCTAACCAAGATGGGGACCAGCGGCTCTTAACTAAACTCATCATGCTTCTGTAAGTCCGTCCTTCTTTGACTCACCTCCAGTGTCTGTCACATAGAAAGACATGATAGAGAGAAGTTACAAGAAGGTGTCTTGCAAGCAATCCTATATGCTGTGGTCTACATCCCTTTACAGTGGCGTCGTGTATTGCTCAGGCAAAAGGTCCTGTCAACGCTATCATTCTTTATTGATACTTTTTCTCCCTTAAGAGTGCTGAAAATTTCTTTGTTCTAAGTACCAACATGATTCAGCAAACTATCAGAAATCCTAAAGAGGTAACATGAAAAGGTGGAGAGAAAAATCTAAATTAAATGGAATTTACCAGCCAAAGATTTTGAAACTACTTTCCTGTGAATGTCTGGAGCAGAGCAGAACACAGTCAATTACTGACTGTAATTAAGAAGTGGATGCGTTTAAACTGTAGAGAGCAGTAGCAGACTTCTCCAGACTGCCTAGGAGCTCAGAAGATCGGTTGGAAGAGAGAGAAAAGGATGGGAACTGGACGTCTCTGACAGTGTGATCTGAATGAATTACAGCCACGTAGTTCCCTCATCTAGTGTCCCAAAATGAATTAGTAAATCACTAATTATGTATGATTAATGCAGGAATATATTTGGACAAGGAAAATTTTAAAATACATTTTTTGGAGGGATGTGTTAGAGGAGAAAGATCCCCTCGGCATCTCGAGCACCACAAATGCAAATGCACTGTGAGGCACGCAGATTTTAGAGCTGTTTGAATTCAGGAGGCCAAAGACTGAACTGTGTTGCCTCTTTCTGTGACCCTCAGAATTTCATAAATCTAATTATATTTGTTTTTGTACTTTTGAAATGTTTTTCTTTTTATAATTTTAATGATGGTTTATTTATACTGGCAGAGAAATATTAGATTATACATATTGCTTATATTAATTCATTTCTTTCTGTATATAACAACAAATTATGATGTAGTGTAATACATTCATAATGAAAATATTTAAACTTGGGATGAAGGTAGAGGTTAAAGACATCACTAGCATTTTTGTGTTAGTTACAAGTGACCTTATATTTTTAGATTGTGTTTCTGCAGCAACATTTCATAAAGTAAATATTTGGGACTTCATGTAAGTAATATAAGTTCCAGTGGTGTTCAGATAATTATGTGAACTGGACTACTTTGCGGTTTTTTGGCTTTCAAAAGTGACTTGCAGAGTGACAGAGAGAGAGAGAGAGAGAGAGAGAGAGAGAGAAATAGTTTCCAGTGATTTGTCAAATTTTAATGTGAGTAATTAGAGGGTTTTTTTTTTCACCTTTTTATTTCTTAAAATTGCATACATTTTGGACAGCTCCTATTCTCATTGCGGTATGGACAAAACTTAATATTGGAAGAACTTATGTCACTCAAAAATGTTTGCTTTGAGGTACTGAAAAATTTTCTATCTATCTCAATAGAGTTTTTCTGAAAACAAGCAAGTGAGAAGTCAAAGACCTTTTAGAAAAGTCTCCATTAGTCTCTCTGGTAAATAATCTGTTTTAAAGCTCTCCATAAAAGAAAATCAAATATAGAGTTATTATTAGACTTGAAAAACACAAACAGGAAAGAGACAGAAGGACAGAATGAATTCCGACACACCAAGTGCATTTTTCTGTGGCTTCCAACGTTCTGAGCACCGTCCTCATCACTTTCAACTCCTGCCTTATTTCTCTCGATGTTAGAACGACTCAGCTTTAGCCCTACTCTAAATTATTTGTCGTATTATTAAAATACTAATATATTTGTTATGATATAAAAAGTTTATAGCTATCAGTTCAGAATGAGCCTAGCCACCCAGTTCCCAGAAGGAAAATTACTGGAATAGAAGAAAGTATTTCAATGTCTTAAGGGTGCTTTTTGAGGGAGATTTTTCTTTTTAAACAGAAGAGGCACATTTCGTGATTGTCCTATAACTTTTCTTTTCCAGATCACAACAGTATCAGGAAATGAGTTCCTTCTACAGTCAGACATTGACGTCATCATTTTGGACTGGTTCCAAGCTATCAAAAATGCAATGGACAGACTGGTATGTATTTGTTTGGCTTTTGCCTTCATTAATTAAAATGTTGTAATTTAAATCTTATTGCTCAGGCATATAACACACACACACACACACACACACACACACACACACACACATAAATAAACCCTATGGGCTGAAAGATACTAGATTCTTTTAAGTGAAAATACATAATAGTCTAGGAACATTTTCAACAGACAGGATTTGGGGAACTAAATGTCATTTTAATTTCTCTTTCAAAAAAACCCATGTTTTTTCTAAAATAACATGAACGTTCATTTATGGGAAGTTCTAAAAAGCACATACAAGCTTAATAACTACTGAATTTTTGCATTTTCATTTTATGCAGTCTCTAATACATACTCTTAAAGTTAATATGCTTAAAACTATACTCACTGTTATAATTCCAGTAAATATAATCCTTTATACTGTTTTTATTGTTGGCTGAGCTAGATTTTTCTCATGAAAATCATGCATCTAGAACTTCATGAAACTATATCAAACCCAATACAGAGCCAATTCTTAAAAGAGCCAAATTACTTAAAATGTCTCATTCTGTCTTGACTAATTTTCACTCATTATTATTCACAAAATCCTGAGGAAAAACTACTCTTCAAAGTTTCTAACATAGTATACAATATGAAAAATAAAATATTTTCTGTGCGATTTCACTGATAGTTAAAGTCTTTATACAACTTTGGGGTGAAAACTTAAAATAAGTTTTCATGAATTAACTTTTAACATGAGTTAACATGAATTAACTTTTCCCCATCATCTATAAAAACCCACATACAGACCAATTACTGTCTCTAGGATGGACTTTGGGACCAGGGATGCCTGAAAGTGGCTTCATCACTCACTAACTGTGTGGCCTTCCTTGGGCAAGGCACTTTTCTCTTTTGGCCTCGGTGTCTTTCTCAGTGATAATGCTGCCGCTGCCCACTCAGGATTCCTGTGTGATTGAAGAATTAATGTGTGTAGAATGCTTAGGTGGCACCCAACGTTTAGTGAGTACCATGTACATCTACTATTATTATATTTCTGTGTTAGTTTAGCGTTGAGGCCCTGTCCCAAAATAATTAACATATTTCAAACATCCCCTGTGTGTAACACCAAAATAGAGGGAACACTATTTGGTGAGTCCTTTCTTCCCAGTCAGTTTTCTAAGCCTGTTTGTGTGTTCTTCCAGCCAAAGGATCCATCAAGAAAGTGTCCATCAAGAAAGCTAGAATTATTCGAAATCCAGAGATCCTCTAGTACTGAGCTGTTGAGTCACTATGATGGTGATATTAAGGAACAGAAGCCCGAGCACAGAAAATCTTTAAGTGAGTATTTTCTTTGATTTGTTCATTTGAACCTTGTCTAAATGCTGTGCTTATGAAATATAAATGCATTGAAGTGAGATTTAAGCCAAACTTCCACTCCTCGTGGAAGCTTCATAGCTCTTTCCTGGCCACGGATCCATGCGCTGGAGGGCAGGCTGGGCACTTTGCTCACATCGTTGTCAGGAATGCCTTTTGAGAAAATGCTTGCTCCAAGGTCGTGGTCTCCGCTTACAGAAAACCTCTGAATCACTGAGCAAGAGCCATGGAGTTCAGACAGGTGATTGATTTTGAAAGTGGGAAATGTCAAGCATCTCCAAACCTTGGTATGCTGCCTATTTGATTTTCATATATTAAAAATATGAATGACCACCGCAGTTAGCCAAACTAAGCCAACTTTCCAGTGTAGACCACCAGGAAGATTGAGAAATATGCACACCAATAGTAGAAAGGGAAATGTGAATTAGAAGTTTTCTAAAGGTATCTAATTCTACTATTATAAATGTCCTGAGTAACAAGAACTTACACAGTGATTTTCAGTGTTTTTAATCAATCTAGTTCTTCTTCAATAAAAAGGACTTAGCAAAATATGTCACCTATATTTCAGAGTTGATTTATGTTTTACCTTTCTGATAGAATAAGTAAATGTCTTTGAAGTCAGAGAAAATCAATTTCTCAAATTCTTAAAACTCATAACATTTTTGTTTTATCTTTTACCTAGTTGTCCCTAATCTTCAAAATCATCATTTATTAAAATAATTTTTCTCAGACTAAAGATTAATATAATTGTAGAAATCAGTAAATTCAAGAAATATGATAGCTTCTTGAATTTGGGGACATCTCAGTGAGTTGAAGAAGGGTCACTAATGACATATAGATGCATGTATATATATAGATACACATGTATTCTAGATGACTTTCTGTTTATATAGAGAGATGCATTCACTGGGAAAAGTATATATGTATATATGTACACATACACACAAATAAACACATATATATATATATTCATAAGTGTATATATATATATATTCCAAGGAAAAGAAAACTATATCTAGATGGTAACATATCTTCCAGAGCTGAATTGCTGAGTGCCACAAATCTAGAAATTACATGAGAACTGAGAGTAGCAGGAGCTCTTGAAATTTAGTCATCATCAAATGACCATGCTGTAATTTTCAACAGCTGTCAGACCCATATTCACTCAGCAAACTGTACTTTGTTGATGTTTAGGATTATCATCATCAGTGTTGGAAACAAATGCATTTGTGGAGAAGCAACAATGCCATTCACAAAGATTTTTTTCCCCATAGAATGATGCAGTTTTAAGTTACGTCATTTAAAGTAGGGGTCCTGAACTCCAAGCCATGAGCAAGCAGGACTATTAGTAATAGGATCAAACAGCAGGAGGTAAGCAATGGCCTAGCAGACTACAGCTCCTCTGTATTTGTGTTTACAGTCACTCCTTAGTCCCCACATTGTCACCTGAGCGCCTCCTGTTAGAGGCATCAGATTCCTGGAGCGCTGTGAAGCCCATTATGAACTCACATGCGTGGGACCTGGGAATGTGCCTCTTGTGAAACCCTAACCCCAAAACCATCCACACTCCCATCCTGGTCCATGGAGAATTTGTCCTCCCTGAAACTGATCCCTGATGCCAGAAAGGTTGGGGACTGCTGATTGAAAGAATGTTAAACTCCTGACCATTTCCCCTGTTTTGGTTTACATGGAATCAGACTTTCACAAGATTGCATAATTAGAATTCAGTTGTGAGTATGTATCTAATGTTAATCATGTAGATATTTTGTAGTAAGTATAAAAGAGTATCTGATTCAATTATTAATAGATCTACAATCTCAGATAAAATTTCTGATTTTCAGGAGAACTCAACACATTCCTGAAGCCTAAAGCTATTCAGAATAAAGGTTTACAAAACTGCTTTTGAGAAATATTCAGGCTAATGGATTTTGTATTGAATGGTAATTACTTTAAAATTTTAGGATGTTACTGGGAAAAATTATGTAGATAGAATGCCCACAGTTTTTCTATAGATTTTATTATTTCATTGATGCTGTTTTTAAACCAGGAATACAACTCATAACCTCATGCTTACCAGGCATACACTTGTGTCACTGAGCTATATCCATAGCCCTATTGTTTTATTGAGAAAGTCACTTATTTACTTTGAGACTAAATTCAATCCAGTTTAAAGACAAAAAGGGTACTTGTTTCTAGCCTTTCAAAAAGTATTTAATTTGTGTGATGACTTCATATTCACCTTTTACTTTGAAGTAACTAAAAACTAGTGATAACTAGATGTTCTAGGTGCTTGTCTTAAAATGACTCGATTAACATTCCCAAGAACGCTTTGACTTAGATATTACTTTTATACATCAGTCCACTGAGACATGGGGAATTAGGGTAACACAGCTAGCACCAAGTTAGGAAGAGATGTTTCAAACCCAAGAAATCTTAAGTAAGATCCACAGAAAACAAATAATGTAAATTTGTACCCCAAAACAGTTGCTAGCAAGAGAATTAAGATAAGATGGTCTCTCTGGCAATTGATTAAGTTCAAAGTTAAAATAGCCATTGAATCTTTAACACTACCCTGGATTTTATAAAATACTTCTTTTCTGTATCTTCATGGATATATATAATTATACATTTAATTTAGTAATAGTATAATTTTTGCAAGGTAGGACAGAGTTAATGCTTTTTTTAATTTTTAACTTAGATAACATCAATATGTATGTATTCCTTTTCATTGGAGGGGCATATTGGCTGAATCACCCACCCAATAAAAATTAGACTACATCTTTAAAATTCTTAAAGTTTTTATTTCTATATTTAATGATTGTGAATTTTTTCTATAATATCCTGTGTAAAACTCATCTTAGTCTTGGACTTGTTTTGAACACTCAATCTCAGATTTCTTAAAACGTTTATGTCAACCTCTGCAAACCAAGTAATGATATGATTCAGAGATTCACAGTACCTTCTTCCTTATTAATAGGTCAAGCACAGACTTCCTTGTCAGTTAGCAGCCTTTGGCTTCCTGTGCCCATGAGCTTCCCACAAGTTTTACCGCCAAGAATGTAGTCAAATACAGCCAGAATTACTTTTTTAAAAGGCATGTGAACATCATTAGCAGCTAACAGGTGGTCATTTATTTTGTCCATTTTGTCTGCTTAACATGGGAAAAAATACATTCTCGCATTGAGTGGATTCAGAAAGCTATATTAAAATATACTTTACTTTTAAAAATATGATTCTAACCTGCCAACACTATTAAGCACTAACCAGATATTTTAAGATATCAGTTGATGATAACAGAGAAGAAGCCAGAAAAATCACTGTCAGGGCCAAATCACTGTGGGAAACTCAGGACACCAGCCTGGAGGAGAGCAGGAGAGCAGCTCTCCAGGGAGGGCTCTCGTGGAAAGCGTGGAGTCAGTCAGAGACAAGGCTCGCATTTCTCCAAGGAAAAAGAAGGATCTTCCACTGATGGCTAAGAGAGGCTCACATATAAAAATTTCATCAGATTACCCCAGAAAAGTTTAATTTCTCTGAGTTTTATTTTCCAGATCTATAAAAATGTGTCTGGTAACATCCTTCCAGAATTGTGTGAAAATTTGAAATTAGAGATATAAATACTAAGCCCCAGCAGGCCCTCAATAAGTAGACGTTCTTAGTCTAATCCTCTACGGCCTCAAGCAGATGGCACCCAAAAGGGCAGAAGCCAAGGGTAGACTCTGTTGGAAGACTGGAGCAGGGATGTGTGCTTGACATCCTACTCCTTGAGAGTACAAAAAATAGGAAACAGCCGGGATCAGATAGGAGAGTTGTAGCTGAAAACGTCTGAACATGAGCAGCTGGTCTTTCCCCGGGCATTTCCCCAGGTGAAAATGGCAGCCAGGACATTCTTGGGAGCAGTATAACCGGGCAGAGTAGGCCAAGAGATACCCTCGATTCGCTTATTCCCAGAAGAGTATGTCATTATGAAGTTTTAGCTGATGGAAAAGATTAGCATCTAGCTATTTCAGTGTTCTTCTAGACACCGCCCTAATTTATTCACTCATTCACGTATTCATTGCTTTTCATTGGCATGATGGTCTTACATACCACTAAAATTCTTGACTTTTCTTGTCTGCGCTTTAATCTTTTAAGACTTACTTTCATATTTAGCTGATTCTTCAATAATAATATGTCTCATGCTAGTTAGTTGCTAAACTGTAACCTCCATGAGTGTAAAGTCCTTGGATAACTTATATATGAAATTTTGACTTTTAATATCAGGAATAAAAACTTCCAAAATGAACACAGACTTGTAAGATACTTATTGATAACCAAACTGGAAATGTCCTACTAGTTTCTTAGAAAACATATGATTAAAAATTATTCAAAATGCATATTATGTAGCTTATCCTGAAAATTCATATAAATATATTTTCAAGTTTCTTCTTAAGAATTGTATAGCTTTCTGCTGGTGGACACCGCGGAGGAAGCATCATCAGGCTCTCTTCCGACTGCCGTCATGTCTAAGTCAGAGTCTCCCAAGGAGCCCGAACAACTACGGAAGCTCTTCATCGGAGGGCTGAGCTTTGAAACAACTGATGAGAGTCTGAGGA